AGTGAAACTCATATGTAAGACTGATATAATAAAGTACATGTTGTCCCGGCCAATCATTCATGGGAGGATTGGTAAGTGGACACTTGCACTATCTGAGTTCAACTTGCAATATGTGCCTCAAAAGGCCATAAAGGGCCAAGCATTGGCTGACTTCTTAGCTGACCACCCATGTGTGGATGTGCCAGCTGAGTTGGTAGAAATAGACATGGTGGAGGAGGCCCCTTGGACCTTATACTTTGACGGATCAAAAACACGATCTGGAGCGGGTGCTGGCGTGGTCCTCACTTCCCCATCAGGGCATGCCATGCACTTTGCCTTTACACTTGATCTCCCATGCACTAACAATCAAGCCGAGTATGAGGCTTTAGTGGTGGGGCTGGAGATGCTTGTTGACTTGAAAGTCAAAAATGTTAACATCCAAGGGGACTCCCAACTAGTAGTCTACCAAGTACTTGGTGAATTTCGATGCATCAATTGCATACTAGAGACATATCTTGATTATGTCCAAATATTAATTACCCACTTTGATAATGTCTCCATCAAGTATGTTCCCCGCCAGGACAATGGCAAGGCCAACTACTTAGCACAACTAGCTTCGGGGTTCAAAGAGTTTGCTCATGAAGGGGGAGAGCAAATTTTTGTGCGAACGCTCAACCCACTACATGCGAGACTTAAGCAAAGGGTAGATGTGTTTACGATTGAAGAGGATGCCAGTGACTGGCGTACCCCCTTGATAGCATACTTGAAGAATCCAACAGGGGATGTGGATCGGGCCATCAAATTCAAGGCAAGAAACTACGTCTTGTTGGATGAGGTCTTATTCAAAAGGAGACCAGATGGTTTACTGTTGAAGTGCTTGGGGGGCAAGGAGGCCCTACAAGCCATGGGTGAGGTTCATGAAGGGATATGTGGTGCTCATCAAGCAGGCCTTTCTATGAGATGGGTACTCCACCGGTATGGGTACTACTGGCCATCCATCGGGGAAGATTGTGCCGCTTTTGCTAAGGGGTGTGAGGCTTGTCAACGGCATGGCCCAGTGCAAAGAGCTCCGGCCATCGACTTGAAGTCTATCATCAAGCCTCGACCTTTCATCGGATGGGCCATGGACTTGATTGGGAAGATTTATCCACCATCTTCTGATAGACATACGTTTGTCATCTTGGCAACTGATTACTTTACCAAGTGGGTGGAGGCCAAGCCAATGACAGTGGTCAATCAAGGAGAAATTATCAAGTTCATCAAAGAGAATATAATACATAGGTTCGGCTTGCCATCCACCATAACAGCTGACCAGGGTACTGTGTTCACGGGAGGGGAAGTGATGGCTTTTGCCGAAGAACACGGCATCAAGATCATACACTCCACTCCTTACTACGCTCAAGCTAATGGTCAAGCTGAAGCATCCAACAAGGTGGTGAAGGGTATATTGTCTAAGATGATTGAAGATAACCCAAGAAAGTGGCATGAAGTCTTGTCGGAAGCCTTATGGGCTTATCGAATGTCACCACGTAGTAGTACAAAGGTGACCCCTTTCTCTTTGACATATGGCCATGAGGCATTCCTGCCACTCGAAATAACAGTTAAGTCATTGAGGTACATGAGGCAACATGAGCTGACACCCTCAGAGTACTATGAGTCTATGATGTTGGAATTGTGTGATCTTGATGAACTCCAACTCAAAGCACTCGATAACATCAGGGTGCAAAAGGACAAAGTAGCTCGCTCTTACAACAAGAGGGTTAAGCACAAGTCCTTTGAAGAAGGAGAGTTAGTATGGAAACTACACTTGCCAATTGGGGAAAAGGATCCCAAGTTTGGCAAGTGGTCTCCCAACTGGCGTGGACCCTTCATTGTCCATGCCACCCGGCCCAATGGGGCCTACTTGTTAAAAGATTTAGATGGTGTGTTTCATGATCGATTGATCAATGGTAAGTATCTCAAGCCCTACGTCCCTTCTCTTTGGGATGTGGGGTGTCAAGGGGTCCAATGTTAGTAGGCCACCATGGCGGCCGGCATGCCACGCCTCCCACACCCTAAGGCATGGCATGACACCCCATGAGGAAGTATGGCTTAAATAGCTAGCCATGACATGGAGGGTATATTGAGATAAAAGTATAACGTTGATATGGGGGCAATAAAGCCAAGTAGATTGGTATCACACTTCATCAATAATAAAAATAAAATTTGCTACTAAGGCAATGAGGAGTTAACTTGTCTTGGGGGGCAAGTAGATCGCAGTCCTACTGATGGTTTAATGAGAAAAGTATGGCTTCTTATCTTTTAATCGACTTTGATAAAGCCAAAGCTCAACCGCAGGAGTGTTTGAGAGGTGAGCTTGATACGTACGAGGTGTGAAGCTAAGTGGTTTAGTTGATGTTAACTACTTAGTCCATAATCCTTATGCACTAAGTAGTTGGGGGGCATTTGTTTACCACTAAAAAATAACTTAATACCACATTGATTATTTTCAAGGAGTGGTAGTGATTTATAAGGCCAGCTCAACATTAATGATTAAAAGAGATAGCTGGGCCTTGTTGGGTTGGGTTTTTGGGCCTAAGTGGCCAAACCCCTTCTCCTCTATACGATGGCCGACCGTCTCCGTGACTCCATAGCCGGACGATGCCTCCACCCCTTGGTACAAAATTTGGCTAAGTGTTGAGACCCACAGCACAAGGGGGGTCATGCATGACACCGTCCAAGGGGGTCTCGTCCAAGGGGGTCATCGCGAGTACCCTTTCGCCGTGTGGTGCAAAGAAGGCAAAAATTTGGCTAAGTGTTGAGACCCACGGCACAAGGGGGTCATGCATGACACCGTCCAAAGGGGGTCATGCATGATCTCGTCCAAAGGGGGTCATGCATGACACCGTGCAAGGAAGGCGAAAATTGGCTAAGTGTTGAGACCCACAGCACAAGGGGGGTCATGCATGACACCGTCCAAGGGGGTCAAGCACAAAGGGGGTCATGCATGATCTCGTCCAAGGGGGGTCTCGTCTAAGGGTGTCAAACATGATGCCGAGGTGAAAATTGGCTAAGTATGGAGATCCAAGCACAAGGGGGGTCATGCATGACACCGTCCGATGGGTGCCAAACGACCGGGTACCAAGCCGGGTACCAAATAGGAGACCATCCGTATAGAGCCAAAACATTGAATTTGGCTAAGTATAGAGCCAAAGGGGTATCAAGCCGAAAAGGCATGCTTGATACTAAAATACATGAAAATTGGTTAAGTATGGAATCACATGGCCATAGCAAGAGGGTACCAAGCCGGCAAGGCATGGCTTGATTCCAAGACATGAAAAGCATGAATTTGGCTAAGTATGAAGCCAACGGGGTCGGCAAGACAGGCTTGGCAGCCAAGCAAAGCGACAGGGTCCCATGAGCCCAAGGGGGTATCAAGCCGGTAAGACTGACTTGGTGGCCAGGCAACAGGGGGCCAAGACGGACTTGATAGCCATACATCAGGGTATCAAGCCAACAAGACAAGAAATTCTACTAAGGCATGGTGGCTAGCTGAGGTGGCCACCCGACTAGGTACCAAACAACCATGTATGGTCCTTATGGGGCCATATGGAGACAAAGTCCCAAGGCCGACTTGGTAGCACCCTAACGGGGTACCAAGCCGGCAGGGTGTAACTTATCAACTTGATGAGGCTACAAAGACTAAGTATGGAGACCAAGCCCCCAGGATTGGTGTCATGAGATGGTAGCGGTCTCAAGACGACAAGAGTGGGGAGTCATCAAGCAGCCGAGGGTGCGATCAAGACTTCATCATGGAGGCTAAGCAAAGAACCTCAACCCCATCCAGCATGACAGGGCGACGAGACGAGACCCCCAAGGCGACGGTTACCAACTAGTCACCAAGGCAGCGACAAGCGGCCCCTAAGGCGGTTGGAGCAAAAGGCCAGCTAGCAGTTACTACGGCGGTTACCAAGGCAGTTACACCCAGTGGCTATAAATAGGAGAAACAAAGACGGGAAAAGGGGTTCCACAACCAATCATTTGACACACTATGTCAAAATTTATCTTTTTCCTGCAAATCAGCTTTTAGTTTTCGGAGCTCTCACTGAACCTCCATAGGAGTAGAGTAACGTAGCTTGTTCCCAAAAAACCATCAAAACATCAAACACCCTCGTTCGAACATTGTTCGGAGAGGAGTGGACCGTGTTATTAATCGTTGTTCAAGAAGTCAAGGTGCATTGATTGAGTTCAAACACAAGTTTTTCCTCGCCGGAAAACAAATATATTTCTTTTTCTTAAAAAAGTCTATTTCTTGGGGGCTTCAGCATAGTTTTTCCTTTTTGTTTTTTCCTAGAAGAAAGCCATAATGATCTAAAGCAGGTGAGCTTCTTTGTTGACATTTTTGACTCCGGCTAGCTAGCTAGCTTTTGAACTAATCAGAGGGACAGATAGATAGATGTTGTAGTTGAGCTACCAACAAGCTAGCTAGTACACATATTTCTGCACTCCACGTCTCCACCCAACTTAGACTTTGTCCTTCCTTATATATCTGCTGCGTACATCTCCATTAGCTGCTTCAATTCAAATGCCCCCTATAAATTGCCTCTTCCATCAAGCCAAAGCCAAAGCAAAACCCCACACCTCTCTCACTTCATTCCAAACCACCCCCTTTTCTGCTTCAACTCGTACAGCTTCTATATTTTTCAGGGTTGAAATTAAAGGAGTACTGTGATTGATCAAAACCCGGCAGGCACCGCAACATATATATATGGCTTCTCACAGGAGAACATGTGTCGTTCCCATGTTGCTGCTGCTCTTCGCTATCGTCTTTGTCGATGTCGTCCCATGCAGTGGAGTAGCTGCTGCTGCTGCTGCGTCTCGCCGCATGCTGGAGATGCCGGAGCTTCCCAAGCCTGAACTACTGCCTCCTGTACCTAAACTCGAGCTTCCACCTCTCCCCAAGCCAGAGCTTCCCCATTTCCCTGATCTCCCCAAACCGGAACTGCCTCCTCTCCCCAAACCTGAGGTTCCAGAATTGCCCAAACCCGAAATCCCCAAGCCTCTAGTTCCAGAATTGCCAAAACCTGACCTCCCAAAGCCTATAGTTCCTCAAATGCCCAAACCTGAACTTCCTAAGCCTCAAATTCCAGAATTGCCAAAACCTCACCTCCCTAAGCCAGTTGTTCCAGAATTTCCCAAGCTTGAAACTCCAGAGCTGCCAAAGCCCCAAGTTCCAGCACTGCCAAAACCTGAAATTCCTAAGCCCCAAGTTCCAGAGCTTCCAAAACCTGAAATCCCTAAGCCTCAAGTTCCTGAATTGCCAAAGCCTGATATTCCAAAACCCCAAGTTCCAGAATTTCCGAAACCCGAGGTCCCAGCTTTCCCAAAACCTCAAGTGCCACAGCTGCCTAAAGTGCCAGAGATTCCAAAACCTGAATTCCCAAAAGTACCAGAATTGCCCCATCTCCCTGACCTCCCCAAACCCATTGCTCCTTGAATCTTCCCCGACTTGATCATATACTAGCTACTTCTTCTCTGCCTCATGAAGGTGCATGGTGACCATGGCTGCTGCATCTACTAGCGGTTTATCATACCATCATTATTCGCATGGGTTTCATTATTAGCATATTAATTCATGCAACACCGTATGTTTGTTTGGTTCTTTTCTATTTCTGTTTTTTTAAATGATTTAGTACTCATATATATTTGTGTTATTATCGTACTTCATCATGTCTCTGATATGATTTATATATATATATATTGAGATGAACATTATTCTATTTTTATTTATGATTTTCTGGTCAATTTAGTCAGTTCATTAAGATTCATCGTCAGACTTGTCATGCTAGTACTGTCAATTAACCAATAAAATTACAGCCATATCGAAAGTGTTTTTTGGTATAATTTAATCCAGTCTGATTTCAATTAAAACCAAACTATATTATAATTGGTGCCACTCAATTTAATCTTGTCTGATTTCAATTTATTTCTTTTTTCTGTTGAGAGTCTTGTACTTCCAAATTACATTAATTGCAATGAGTCAATGAGAAATATGTTTTTGGTAATTTGATTATTAGTTAAGTTAATTAAAATCACCTTTAGAATTGGGTGAATAACTCGCAAGAATAGTTTATTACTAATAATTGGAGTATTTGTTGGACATGAAATTGCTTGTTTTTTCACTAATAAATGATATACTATTAGTATAATTAATGGGCAAGCATACTTGAGGGGTCCAGTAGCATGTGCGCAGGTACACTGTAAGTCACCTGCAGACCACCTAAATTCAGGCGGTTTTTTCCTCCGGTCTCTTCTCCGATCCCCCTGTGTTGACAGACTGACGGCGAGCCAAGTTGCGGCTTGCAATTTGATGACCCGTCCGTCGACCCGCTGACGGTTGGCCGAGCTGAGCTCTGAGTCTGACTTTTGTTCACCCGTACACGTTTCTTCCCCCTTTCCGCCCTCCGAAAATTGGCCGACGGCTGGCCAATTAGTTTCGTCGACCCACCACTTTCTCTTTCCTCACAAATCCCATATACAGCCGTGCCTTCACGTTGTTCCGATTAGTGGTAAGTTTGACTCTTACTTCCAATTCGGATCGCCGGTAGACAAAGGAAGAGGGGAGAAGCCAATTATGAAAGCTTTTTCCACTTAAAACCTTCAATCCTTGAATCTCGACGCTGTATTGGGTTACATGCAACAAACATCAGACAATTATAATGCAGAATTGAAAGAAAAAAAAATCCCTCTTGGCAATCTAAAGTCGGCAGAAACTCACTAAACCACCATAGTCAACGACCATGACCGGTGCCGATAGAATCCAAGCTACAATCGCCCACCCTAAACCAGGGTTATCGGAGAAGTCAAGCTAAAATCAATCAAATGGAATAATAGAAATGCGCTCCATTATTCTCAATTGATCCGACCATTCTCCCATCCCAAAGCTCTAATGAAAAAGTCAATTACCGTGCGTGAGAAGTCCTTAAAATTATGACCCAAAAATTAAGAGTTTCACCCATTGCCATGATGAAATTTTCCAAGGTAATGTGCTAATGACCCAAAATTTACATTTAAAAGAATTTCATAATTTGATAGCTAAATTACAATTAGTACAACCTTTTCTGTCTAGAATTCCGAAATCATAGTTCCAATTAAATAGTTATTTGGTGAAAAAGATTTATCAAGAGAATCTTATAATCAGAGATGATTCTTAAAATTTATTTATGGAATTATCTACTTCGAAACTAATTAAAAGATTACACCAATTTTTAATTTTGGTCTTAGCATATTTCAACTCAAAATTTTCTTGAAAAGTTTCCCTGTGACAATTGATTATTATAACATTGCTCCTGGTCTGGCTGCAGGTTTTGGCTCTTTCGGCCTCTGCTGTTCCTTGTTCTTTGTTTTTTGTTTTTATGTTTTATTTTTGTCTTTGGGTCCCCCTGGGATTCTGGCCCTTCCGAGTCACCTTTTTGTGACTCCTGGCCGAACTTTGTTTCTCGATTCCTTTTAATTTAATGCATTCTCATCCTTATAAAAAAAAAAAAAAATATGATCATTAGTAATTATCGAATTGTGGACTTAATTACATTAACTTCCTCAATTGGTGATTTATACTCATTTTCATCCATCTCGCGGCAAACGCGCGGGCCATTTTTCTAGTATATATATATATATATATATATATATATATATATATATATATATATATATATATATGTATATATATATATGGTGACTTCTACGGTGCCCAGGGCAAAACCCGGGTACGGGTATCTTGGCCGATCTTCACCGTTCGTTTTCAATCTCCACGGCTCACGTTTGTTAAACCTAGCTGCGCCACTAAATAACTAAACAAATTACAAAAAGCCTCCTCCGCGTTAAGTTAGTTTTCATCCTAGTCCAACTAACTGCCCCGTTTAAATTAAATGGATTAAGACCCAAACCCAATTGGGTAGACCCACTGCCGCCCAAACCAATTTCCAGTCTCCCTAACCAATTACACGATCCCTCTCTCGTCTTGGAGGGACGCCCCTTCACAGTTCCAAGAGAAGCCCCCCATCCACATTCGAAGTAGATTGAATTTCCCAAAAATAATTTGTCTTGTTTCTTCTTCGCCATTGTATTTCCCCTCGCCTATCTCTTTCTAACACGATTACGGCGACCATGTCTATTATTGTGTTCATCGAACTTTTCATTTGGAAAAGAACCCTTGAAAGAGGTTTGCTAACCCTAGGGTTCATGTCACTAGTGCTTTGTCATCTTGTCTTAGCGTTATTGTGATTATATCTCTCGGTGAAATTAAGGTTTCCTGATATGCAGTGTTCGTCTCGCCCAGAGGATTGAGGAAGGAGATGAAGAAGACCTAATTTGATTCGAATCAGATGGAGAGGTCTCCTTAATTTGTGTTTATGTATTAACGCTGCGTTTAGGACTAATTCTAGTTGGACTGGGTCTGATCATTGATTTTTGCAGGCTTTTAAATAACATTCAAACGTGGGCTTGTACATGACCCATGAAATATTCAAAATTGGGCCTGGAACGTGCGAGCCCATTAGTTTTCTCCTGCGGTATCAGCGCCAACCCTAGTTTAACTAGATTTAGTTACCCTAGTTTAACCTACACGAGTTAACATCATCATTGCTACATATCTTCCCATATCTTCTAACTCTTGACATTCCAGACTCAACCGTCTCCATCACACGTCTCCACACTCAACCCCCACTTTTTCTTACACCTACAATCTCTCTTTCCCTACAATTTTTTTTCCCTCCATATCTTCACCTTCCCTTGTTCCTTCTTCCTCCGACTCCATGGCAAACATGGGCATTCTAACTCTATCAAACGACGACTGCCGAACCACCACAAGTCTCGCGGACTATCTTTCATTCACGAGCAAGACGACTATTGTGGCCGAGTACGAGTTCATCAACATGAGTCCTTTCCCTCAAGAAGTTAAGAAGTTAATTAAAAATCTTGGCTGGGAAAAGTTCTTCGATCTCCGGAGTCGAGGAAGCACCAGTTACTGCCCGCATGTGGTGAGGAAGTTCTACCACAATTTAGAGCTGTCTGGACCCTCCGATTCTCATCTCGTGTCGGTCTTCCTGGGTCATAGAGTCTGCTTCCAGCCTCATCAGTTTGCTGAGATCCTCGATCTCCCCGCCGCAGGACACCACATTGATAGCAGAAGCGATCTTCGGCGGCTGTACGATTTTGATTTTGAAGTTGAACTGGGGAAACTGACGAATGGGAAGATCCAGGCTTCTTACCTCCCAGATCCTCTTCGATTCCTCCATTGGATGATCGTCAACTGCTTCATGCCAAGGTACAGAGGTCATTCAATAATTCGTACACTTGACCTGTTTATCCTTGTGCAAGCTCAAAGAGGTGTTCCTCTTAACCTCGCATCTCTCATGTGCGTGAACATGGTTGAGGCGGCTCCTAGAGGGGAAAACTGGTACACTGCCTTTCCATATGCCACCTTCTTGACCACCTTTCTTGGAAGGGTTGGGATGGATATGGGGGTTTATGCTAGGGAGGACCATTCCGCCTATTTGCCAGTCTACCGTATCGTCGAAGTGACCAATACTTTTCATGAACTTCGGCATACGGAGCATGAAGAGACCCCTGAGGCATCCTCAAGCAAACGTCCTCGGCTTACATGAGAGTCGATTGATGCAGGGCGGGGTGGAGCAGTGCAGGGCGGGATGGAGCAGTGAAGGGGCCAGCATTGGATGTGTTTTGTTAAGGCTTCGTTGTTTTTTTTTTCCAGTCTTTTTCTCCAGCACTCAAAACTGTCAGGTACTGAGGGGAGCCAGTACATCATCTGACTAGGAAAGTCTCCCATTTTTTTAATTATCCAGACAAATATTTTTCTATGCATGCAGTATTTTGTGAATTTGCCATGGCTAATTTCCCTAAGACAGGTGACGAGATGCAGTAATGGTCATTCCTAAGCAAGGAGGTGCAATTGCATCCTACACTTGCTATGATGTGAGAAGCTATTGCAAGGGTGCAAATTTGGTTGCAATTGAAATTGGCCCACGAGTGGGGACTATTGATGAAATTGCAATGTTTTGTCAAAATTATAGAAGTGGAAGTAGGGACTACCTATGAAATTGCAAATGAATTTCATTGGGGGAGATTTTAATCCGCTTTTGTTCTAAGCAGTTCCAATTAGGTTGATTATAATGATTTTTTATCTATGGTGATTTTTTCCCCCTTTTTCATCAAGACTCATGCTTCTTTTATCCCCCTGTCGATCTATCATGCTTCGTTTATAGTAAAATATCCTTTTAATTATACACAATAAAGAATCCATTAATTATGTATGCCTTTTTATTGTATTTATTACTACAATGAATTCTCTGACTAAAAGGGGAGTGAAAACATCGTTGGTGGAAATTCAAGGAATGGAATGATAAGGGCTGTGCATAAATTCAATTTCTGTAAATAATTAATTTTATTATTATTAGTTAGTAACGTCATTAGTTTTAGTTAGTGGGTTAGTGGCTCCTACTTTGTAGCTTCAATCTGTTCAAGAGTTGGTACTTAAGCCACTCTCCTCATCAATGTAAATCACTACTTCCAATCAGTTTTACCTTTTGGGTTACCTATACATGAATGCAAATTTAATTATACGATTGGGAGCCAATCAGTTTAACTATACATGATCCCAATTAAACCTCTCTACAAGATACAATGGCTTGAAGCCTTGAACAGACGCAACCTCACTCACAAGTTGGAAGGTGGAATTTTGGTGAAGTCCCTTTGCCATTTCCACGAAAAAACAAACCAAA